CACTGATGAGGTTCCCTAGCTGGGTCATGAAACGTCTGCCGGAAAACAACCCAGTGCAGTCAAAGGAGAGGTGGGAAGGAAAACTTGCCTTGTTGGGTCAGATCATTCAGCCGAGTGTAAGTCAAAGGCCACCTCTGCGACCCCTTTGAGCCGTGCCAATTCCTCCCACGGAAGACCATCCACTCCTTGGCCAAGGATGAAGCCCTTCTTCCGAACCACGAATCCCTTGGAAAGGTGACTCTTGTCTCCCCGCAGCGCAGGGTCGTTTCTGTGAATAGATTTTTGTTTAAGAGAGTCAGAAAGTCGTGGGAGGCATAGGTGAAATTTTGGCCTGTGGGTTGCTGGATTGGGAACACGAAGCTTTGCAAATGCTGTGAATGTCGGGATTCTCAGCCAATGTGGTGGTTCGCTGGCAGCCGGTGCAGCCGGCAGCAGACAGTGAGGAAGAACGGGGACCAATCCAGGAGTCTGGAGAGGATTCGGACGAGGGTCCTGCGTCGAGTGCAGGGATGGGGCCAGGACCATCTGGGAGTGGGGTGCTGGCTCCGGAGCCTCTGGAATCTGCCAGCAGCGAGGCAGAGGAACAGCGGGAGCCTGTTCCCAGTGCGCACTTGCACAAAGGTGCCAGAAGGCTGGGAGGTGATTGCCCCTCCCATAAGGGATAAAAGTCAGACCTCAATGACGAAACCTTTGCAGGAAGCAAAGTAGTTCAGTTAGATTCCGAGTCCTTCTTGAAGCTCTGCGTACTCTGGTGGTTTTTTCTGGTACTCCGTTTGGTTTCTGTTATAATTAAATTGGATACCTCTGTTTTGGGCCACATTCCACAGCACTGAAAGGTGCGTGATTATCTTGGGGAACTGTTTAAGATAAGTTCTGGCTGGAAATGAAAGTAATTCCCAGCGTTGCAATAAAATAGGTTTTGCTTTTTAAACAAGTTGGTGTTTAATTACTTGTGACAAAGACCGGGTCAGAACAGCCAGCTGGATGAAAAGATGATTCCAGGATAGGGAAGATTTTGTGGCTTGGCTTTTTGCTCCAGATGAGTGTTGTGTCACTGCAGTCACAATTACACAATGGCCCCTGATGATCTGCTTTCAGAAGCCCTCAGCTTCTTAAGTATCCACCTCTCGTCCGCTAGTGGATGTTTAGGTTTGTATCTGGGATAGTTATACGCTTTTATGTTAAAAGAAGAAGGAAAACGTGGCCGGCAGTACAAATGAGTTCAGTATAAGTAAATCACAGTAGAATTTCTCTCTTCCAGTTATGCATAAATTACGCATTCTGGCGAAATTGGAAGAAAACATACCCTGCAAGAACACAGCCAATGCTTTGGTAGAAACCACTTGAAGCAGGATGAAAAGTTTATTTTTTATTTATTTATTTTATTTGGTTTGTCAATTGCTTACAAGATAACAGGTATAAGTATAAACATAGTTATGAATACATGGATATATATAAGGAAAAAATAAAAGAAACCATAGGACAGGGACGGTGGGCACGTTGGTGCGCTTATGCACGCCCCCTACAGACCTCTTAGGAAAGGGGTGAGGTCAGTAGTAGACAGTCTAAGATTTTAAAGTTTTGGGGGTTTGGGGAAGAAACCCCAGAGTCAGGTAGAGTATTCCAGACATCGACCACTCTGTGGCTGAAGGCATATATATAGTTAGCCTGAATAGTGTATGTGTCCTTTACAAATTGAGATTTAAAAAATGGAATTTCTGTGGAAGGCTCCTTAAAACGTTTCTAACGCCAGGGACTGGTTTCGTGGAGGACCCGTTTTTCTATGGACCGGGGAGGGGTGGGATGGTTTCATACATAACCTGTAGTTCCTGCACATGTGCAGACGAAGCTTCCCGTGCTCAGTTGCTTCTTGTGTGGGTTGGTTCCTAACAGACCATGGCCCGGATTGGGGACCTCTGATGTAAATGACTGTTGGGGTTCACCGGCTGAGGTCCCGGAGAGCGAGGACTCAGGTGAGGGGCCTGCGTGGGATCCGGGATGGGGCCAGGACCATCAGGGAGTGGAGTGCGGCCTTTGGAGACTGTGGGGGCTGGCAGCAGTGAGGAAGAGGACCCCGAGGAGCCTGTGCTCAGGCTGCGTGCACACAGGGCTGCTCGAAGGAAAGAGCAGCTGCAGCAGCACGGGCGACTCGGGAGTAAGGCTGCAAGGTAGTGGCCCCTCCCTTAAGAGATAAAAGCCAGCTGAGAAACCCGAGTTCTTTGCAGGAAGCAAAGACGTTTTTGCACTCAAGCCTTGTGGATGTTCGGAGTATCTTGGTTGGTATTTGGAGACGCTTTGTGTTTGAACTATTTCTTGGCCACTTTATCCAGTGTTCTTGGCAGCCTTGCACCACCTTGGCAGGGCTCCTTCTTATCAGAGACAATGAGTTGGAAACAGCCTTTGAACGGGGAAGGAACGGAATTCCTAAAGAATCATGAAAAGGTTTTGCTGTTACCTCCGTTTGGCGTTGCTCTCCTTGGAACCAGGTTTGGGTCAGAACAATGACCTGATCTTGGGGGCTCACAGGGCTTTGGAGGAGCCCCTAGCTAAAATTCTGTGCAGTTCAGAGAGACCCCCTCCCAAATCCCATGCTTGGCTGGCCTCGCCCACCCCTCCCCTCCCAGGAGTCCCCAGGTGGCCCGTTTTGGATGCAGGTAAGTGCAGGCCCTGCAGGAGGCTCAGGTGAGGCCAAAAACGGGCCTCCCGTAAGTTCAGAAAAGCCAGAAATGGGCCCATTTCCAGCCTCTGGAGGGCCCCCGCGTGCAGGAGGCGGACTAGGGCCACGCCCACCCAGCGCCCGGGCAGAGACCCCATGGCTAAAATGTTTGAAGCCCGCCCCTGCCTGATCTGCACCGTGGCACATGCAGTGCCCTCACTCTGGCTTCCCCTGGGCTCATGCCAACGGAGGCCGGCGTATCCTGAATTGTCTCCTGTGTCTGTTGCTTTCCTGCCCAGTTCTGGCCCCCGTGTCTTCTCCCCAAACCCCCTTGAGCCTTGTCCTTGCCCAGTTGGTCTCCTATCCCCCACTTACTTACTTCTTCCAGGACAGGGAAGGGGTGAGGGGAGGGCTGGACAGAGCGTGTCCCAGACTCCCAGGTGTAGGGGTGCCCTTGGAAACGGGTCGCCCTGCGGCTTCCTCCGAGGTGGCCAGGAATTTCTCCCTCCTCCCGCAGGGAGGTTCTCTCCCTTCCAACCCCTCCTCACCCCGGCCAGACTGGGCAGGGCTGCGTAAGGGAGACCGGGATCTCACCGCTTCTCTTCTCCTGCCCTTCCCACAGTTCCAGGAAGAGAAGCGCCGGAGAGAAATCGAGGAACGCCGGCGGTTCCCCCTCGAGCAGCGGCTCCGAGAACACATCATTGGCCAGGAGAGCGCCATCGCCACCGTCGGAGCCGGTGAGGCGGGGAATCCAATGCATTAAGCCTAAGACCGCGCATGGGCGTGTTGGGTGGGTGGATTATATAGATGGATTGGATCGGGGGTCTCCAACCTTGGCCACTTTGTGAACTTCAACTCCCAGAATTCCCTCAGCCGGCAAAGGAGGCCCCTGGATTGGGTTGGGTTGGGTTGGATTGGATTGGGTTGGATTGGATTGGGTTGGATTGGATTGGATTGGGTTGAATGGATGGTAGAGATGATACAAGAGAAAGATGGATGGATGATAGATAGGAGAGAAGGAGAGATGATAGAAAGATGGTAGCTAATTTGGATGGATGGATGGAGGGATGATTGAATGGATAGATGGATGAGAGATGGATGGATGATAGAAGATAGATGGATGGATAGATTGATGGATAGATTAGAACAAGGGTCTTCAAACTTGACAGCTTTAAGACTTCAATTCCCAACATTCCTCCTCCATGTTAGCTGAGGAATCCTGGGAGTTGAAGTCCACAAGTCTTAAAGCTGCCAAGTTTGAAGATCCTTGGATTAGACAGACAAATAGATGATGAGAAGACAGAGAGGTGGCTGGATGATAGGTGAGAGAGGAGGAGAGAAGATAGGAAGAGATCATAGGGATAGGTGATCGATAGGGATGGATGGATAGATGGATGAGGGATGATAGGTGATAGAAGAGAAATGGATAGATAGATGATGATGGATGGATTAGACAAACAGAAAGATGGGTGGAGGATAGATAAGAGAGAAGGAGAAAAGAGATCATGGAGATATAGATAGATGATAGATGGATGATGGATGAGATAGATGATAGAAGAGAAATAGATGGATGATAGATAGATAGATAGATAGATAGATAGATAGATAGATAGATAGATAGATAGACAGACAGACAGATAGGTGATAGATAGATGATAGATAGATAGATAGACAGACAGACAGATAGATAGATAGGTGATAGATAGATGATAGGTAGATAGATAGATAGATAGATAGATAGATAGATAGATAGATAGATAG